AAACTAAAACAGTCATATTTTTGTTCCTATCTAACCCCCAAAGGCTCCTGCATTATCTGAAGTGAGGACAGACTAAGAGCATTTGTTAGTTGACAATGAAGAATGAGGGGTACTTCTCATTAGCCCCACATCAAACAGCATCCTCAGTTCTGAGAAACTAGATGGAGGCAGCAGAGGTATCAGAAATGTTAACTCTCTTATCAGGATCACAGGACGATAAACGCATGGAAAACGGACAACAGTTCTTGTCTCTTATCACAAGGTGCACCAACCCATGTGGAGCAAATGCTGCACTAAATTCAGAGCTGGGAGAAGTCCAAGAGGATGCTGAAAGGTGCAGATATTCTCTGCCTGAGCCAGGCTCTTTGTGGTGAAGCTACAGCAGAATCTTACCTACTTATCAGGAGAGTGAGGAAAAAAAGCACAGCAGTACCTTCAGACCCAAAGAACTACAGGCCTTCTGGCATTTAGTGCTGAAGAAAAGGAGAATTGATACAAAACATAATTTGGGAGGTGGGAAGGATGATAAGCTGAGCTTTGCGCCGGACAATTTGGTCTAGAATCCTTTCCAGCAGAACCGGTGGAAACCTCCTGGAAAGATTTTGTTAAGTGTAACAATGAACTCTGTACAATTCCTTGAAGACAGCTGGTCTCACATGCTCAAATCCGAGGAGTCCTCCTCTTTTACAGGGCCCTAAGACGAGAACGGCAGAGTCCAGTGGCATTTCTTTCAGTGCTTCCTCCTGTCGCCATTGGAAATGTAAGAGGCAACTTTTTCCTACTTCATCTGAAGAATTTAGAGGCTGACATTACAAACCAATGTGACAGTTGCTTGCTGGGTGACTTCAGAAAAAAGTGATCCCCTTTCACTTCATACTGGTGGATAAAATCATACATACACAATATTGAAAATTATAAAAGCGACTCACCAAGTGAGAGCTGCTCTGAACACACATTCTTCTCTCACGTCTCTTAACAGCAGAAGATAACTTTAATCCAGTTAGGAATATATATAATCTTGTGAAAGTTGCACGCCAGTGCTGAAACCTAAGACCTCTGTTTATTTGCCATCTAGATTTCAGGAAGGCAGCTGCAATATTTAGTTTTCTTAGTGACTTCAGCCCATGTCAGAAGAAACACGCTTCAGGATTTAATTTAGTTTCCACGCTAGTCATTTTGTCAAGCTAGAATGTCAAGACCATTTATCCATCATCCAATCTAGTAATAATCTGGTTTTGTAATGCAAACCAAACCGTACATGATGGTATTATTAAAGTAACTTCTCCAATTAAGCAGGCTTCTTTATACTAGCATAACAGAATTTCAGGAGTATGACCTAGAAATTCTGGGGTGTATATACTGCTAATAAATTCATTCCAACGTGTAAAACTATTTTCCCCTCGATGTACAAGTGCAAAACATTTTCCAAAATAGCCAGCATTTTCTTAAAAATTAGTTAAAAAGCTACCCATCATCTTAATAGGAAAAGAAAAGTTATCTGGATACAGATATTAGAGAAGTGACACATCATGCAGGTTATTTAGGATAGCAAGGAAGTAGTTCTGGAAGATCACTTATGACTTCCTGTAAATTACAGCAGCTTTTTGATAACGGGGCTAGCTTTTAGAGAGCCAGCCCTGCCCACTTTTTTTAAAACTGATAAATTCAAGGAAATTCCCACTTATAACAGATCACCCTTTTATATAGTAGGTCAATAACTGAATTGACTATAGAAAAGGCCGTCAGATTCATAAAGAGAAGCCAGCAGTCAGAACGCAACAGAACTTGATTTTCCTTTTTTTTTTTTTTTTTTACGCTATGGAAAAATATTAGTTCTTTCCAGACTTGTAGCTTTTGAAGTCGATTATATCTTATTTTCTTATGCAATTCAGTCATCTAAGGACTACACTGATGGCACGAAAAGCAGCTCGGTCTCATTTGCAGGATTAAATGACAAACAGTTCTACTTTAGAAACATTACACAGAGGGGGAACTATTGAGATTCTACTGAGGCAGTGGGACTCCTACTCAAGCATTTTATTTCTGCAAAAGCTGCAGATATTTAACAAGACATTCTTAGCTCATTTGGCAAGTCTGTTCTTAAATAACATGGTCATACACATATCAATGCCCAAAGGATAACAATAAGAGTTAAAGATACCCAGAGGTGGTTCATACCCTTACAGAACAGGGCTAAACTTAAACCCTTTAAAGTCAGGAAATGAATTAAGATACATGCCACCCTAATAACACCTCTACTCTGCCTCCGGCTAAGCTGGCAAGAGCCTCTGGGGTGCTTTAGAAAAGATGGTGCAAAGCATTCATCTAATGATGGAAGTGGTAATTTCTATGTTCACGTTAAGACTGAACAATGTTCAAAGAAATGCTTTAGGAAAAGAACCAGATTATTAGGTGAAGCAGGAGAGTAATTGGGAGAAATGTTCTGACCCGTGTTATCTAGAAGGTCAGATGAGATGACCTCATGATCCCCTTCTGCCTTAAAAATCTCAGAATACATGAATAGCAATTAGCAGAAAGATTAAGAAATGTGCCAGTGTGCTGTGTTCTACAGAGCTGAATTCCAGCATTTATCTGCACGCACCCCAGCTGCATTCACTGTGTGAAGTGGAGCAGTACAGCCTGGACCAGAGTTGTAAGGAACAGCACATGCCTACCTTGAGGGATCAAGCATGCCTCATTTCAGTCCTGAATGTGGCAGGCTATTTCTGCAGAAGTACATAAGGATGCCTTCTTGCCATGGGGACTGTCAGCTGCACAGAGACATATATTTCTATGGTCTCCAGGGCTTAGTGATGGGCAACAGCCACATCTGCAATGGAGCCTAGGCTGCTCCCATTCATTACACCTGACCCAAACCCAAGATTTGTCTTAAAGAACACATGCTGGATTTGCATCATTAGTGCTCATGTGCTCACTGCCATCTATGAGAGTAAAGCATGGACATGGTATTGATGTTTTACAGGAGAGTTAAGCTGTGTTTTCGGGGGGGGGGGCAACCTTAAGTCCTTTCCTTCCTGGTTCTCCAAGTTTTACATTTAGCCACTACTACCCACGTTCTGGAAGGGCAAGAGGCAGTACCAGGCAAACTTACCTCTACATTAACAAAGGTTTTGGGCCATGCCTTTCACTATGAACTTTTCATCACTCCCATGCACTTCATTCCAACTGACCTACTCCCCTTCTGGTCCTTGACAGTAGTTATTCCATCCAATTATGGGGTAACTACTGCCACAGAGCTGGAGGTGGCAGATAGGGAAAGCTGGCATGAGACATCCTGTTTACTGCTCCTAAACCATGTTCCCTTTATTTCTCCTAATGTCAAAACCAGTCTCCTTCACACAGAACAACAGCCATCAGCATGGGACCCACCTACAGGCTGAGGAACTGGGAAGAGGATACAGAACAGTGCAGGGACTAGGACAGTATTAGTGTGGACTTTTTTTAAAGGCATCAACAGAGACGTTACTCCTTAACACCTGCCACTGAAAAGCTGTGACCCCTCCTCCTTTCCATCCCACTCTTCAGTTAACTTTTTATTGCCTCCTATATTCCTCCTCATTGTTTTAACGCTTTGCATTGTTTCCAGTTGCTCAGACATCCCTAAATTGCTATGAGACTGCTCTAATGATCCTTTCGTCATACTCACTGCTCTGATAACCCATAATCCTGGATCAGAAAGTCAGAAAAAGGGCTCAAACACACACAGCTCTCATGATGAAGCTGTGCATCAGGATCCCCATGTTCAAGTGACCTAGAAAACAGCTCTCTCTTGTCCATTGATCAGGAAACCAACTACATTATAGCCCTTTCATCTGTCCTTTAAATCAATGCTGATTTCCTTGATCATATTTTTAAAGTAAAACTGGAGTTTGCACATGCATTTTAGAGTACTGCAGAATATTGCTTTTGAGCCAACAGTTCTCATTTCAAGACAAAACTTCCAAGGGGAACTCCTGGGAAATGCAAGCAGAGGCAGGAACATGCGCAACATGCATCGTCTGAAAACCGCCAGCTGTAAGGCTCCAATTTAGAGCGCACAGATACAGCTCAAGTTCAGTAACCACAGCTATTTTAAGAGTCTGCTTGAAAAACCCTTTTGCCTCAGAAACCTGCTTTGGCCACATTTACATTTTTCAGTCTCTTTAGCCCCAACCTGAAATTCCAAATTAAGGTTAACGACTTTTTCAACACCGATGTTATACAGCACCCTTTGATGAAGCAAGATATGCCGAGTGACCAAAGATCAGTGGGGGCAGGGGAGGAGGCCACAAGAAGAATTATAAATTGATCTTGTAAAATTCATTTTTTAAAGGCTGCATTCAAGAAACCTTTGCTCGTCTGACCTCGAAATTTGACTAACGCCATCCTAGACGCCACATGAGACAACACATTTCAAGGCAATCCAAATAAGCAAACTGATTTTGCAGCACAGGAAAAATAAAAAAGGATTCTTAAATTATAAGCGATGATCAACTGCAGAGGCAAGTGCTCTGATATAATTCACAAGCCAGGTTGTTCGGATTAAGGAAACGTCCGATACAAAACCTCAGCGCAGCGCTCGGCACCCGGATCTTTGCCGAGCGGGCCGAGGACACCGACCTGCCTGGAAGAATAGGAACTTCCTAACATTTCCTTCGCCACACGGAGCAAGCAGAGCGCGGCTGCACACCAGGCGGCTGAAGACGGCGGGGAGCAAAAGGAGTTAAGTCGGGATCAAAACAAGGTTATAAAATTATTCGATACGGGAATCAGACATACACCGGCGATGCCGGATACACCGCAGCAACTCCCCTGGAGTCGGCAGACAGGCGATGTCACACACCCATCCCCGCCCCAGTGCCGGCATCATCGCGCGAAAGGAACCGGGGCGTCATCGGGCAGCTCGCAAGGAGCGCGCGCCGTTTTCATTAATAGGTGTAAAGCGAAATCCTTCTCCGCCGGCTGCTTACCACCCCCCCCCATCCCTCCTCCTCCTCTCAGGGGTTTGCCCCGGGGCAGCCGAGCGGGTGCGCAGCTGCGACCGCGCAGAACAAAGGCGGCCGTTCCTCGTCTCGCCACGGGTCAGTCTTGGGAGGGGGCCGTGCCCCGAGAAACTTCTCTGTCTGCCTTTCACCCACCCACCCACTGTGGGGTTGGGGGGGGCTCCTAATGCTCTTGGGTTTTCATACACGGAGGGGGGGCTGCCACCCCCTCCCCCCGCGCTGTTGCCATGGCAGCCGACCGAGGGGACGGGGACGGGAGCAGGGCCGCCCCTCCCCCCCCGCCGCCGCACCCGCCCGGCGGG